AATAGAAACCTCGTGTAATTAGCAATCAACAAATTAGCAGCTTAATCGCAAAAAATCAGGAAGCAATCTCAAAATTTGAATCGGATACACTCCAAATTTGAATAAGATACACTACGTCTTCAGTGGATTTTCTATTTTCTTCGAACGCATTCATGGATCACAAATCATGCAAATGGGAAAGCTTTCATTAGGAGGCGTAATTCTAGAAAAAATTCACTATGTTGCATATCAACCTAAATCACAGTTAGGATTCCAAATACATCTCCAAGGAAGCTGATCAGTGATCAGCAACGATTTCTCATTCGACTTCCGGTTAGTATATTTTCTTATTTAATTTGCCTCGTCATCATGTATTTCTCTCTTCCTCGCATCCACTTTTCTATCTCAACTCAAAATTAGTTTTGTTCTCACTCAAATCTTAGGATTCTGATGCTTTTGTTCCGAAGCCTAATACCAAAGTGTTGAAAAATTGGTTGCTCGAACATCAATGCCTCCAATGATGATGGAGATTCAATTTCTCCTAATTTTCAGGTAATTTTTTTAAACCCTCTTGCTTCGGCTTGATTCATAGAATAATTCGAATCATGTAAGTTAATCTGAGTTTATACGATAAATTCATGTGCTGCTCCAAATGGGTTGATTTTTTGTTATATATTTGTTGCTCCATATGGGGATTTTCCTACTACAACTCAATGAAGGTGTTAAGTGTTGTACCAGAAGAACACGATAAATATTGGCATCCAACTTTATTTGAAGAGATGGAAGCATATGAATGATTTGTTGGTGAGTTGAAAATGTTCTTTTAAATCATCTTTAAAACCCTTGGAAAATTGAATCCCTTCCTTTGAGCAGATGGTACCGGTCAACCATTAATTAACTGACTGCAGGGCTTAATATTTGGCCGATTGATGAAGAGCCTAAAATGGTTGTGGTTATGGATTTCTCTTTCAAATTTTTCTCATTAAGATTTACAACAACTTGTATATCGTTTGAATTCTATGAATAGTTATTATATTAGGGTTAAATGTGCATTTATCAACAACATTTCATGTTTTCCTTGATTTATGTAATAAAGATTTTTTAGACAAAACATGCAAAAACGCTTGCAAAAGTGCATCTTTTGAAAATTTTGTGCAAAATTGTTACTAAATTGTTATTGGGATGTGGCATTGGTTAATTGTTTACTTATTAAATAACGTTCACTTTTTTTCAAATTATGAAACTAACATGCTTTAGCAACCATGTTTAAACGAGTCAAACACTTTATTGGTTAAATATTGCATCTTAATCCAAAAATGAACATTTGTTGCATATTTTATATTTTGTCTTGTGGGAGTTGCACTCTCATTTATTTGTTTTTATAGCTTATATTTAATATAAAATAACAACTTACTTTCTTTTATTGTTAAAAATAACATCCAACTTTCATTTTTTGTTAATTATAAAATCCAACTCTCATGTTATTATTAATTATAGCATCCAATTTTCATTTTTTTTATTATAGCATCCATCTTTCAAGTCCATAACTACATATTAGATACATCATCTTTTTTCCAGGTTCCTTTGCCTCAATCTCTATTTTGGTTTTCCATCGTTCTTTATGAAATAACATTTTTTTGTGAAATTCATTCTAAGCTTTTGAGTATGTGCATGTATGTTGATTTTTTTGGAGTAAAGAAAGTAGGGTTTTGGTTCCTAGGATTTGTTCTTCTTTTTTATGATTTCCCATAAGTTATTGCTTTTTATTTTCCATCTTTATCTACACATGAGTCTTTTGAGCCTTTGTACTTTGATTTCTTGAAAAATGATTTCTTGACCAATAGGTTGGATTCATCTATTTCTTTTGTATGTTCGTTCTCACAACTCATGTTCTTTATTACAACTTGGTTTTTAGTATTTAGCATTGTCAGGTGCTTATCTAACAGCATTCATTAGCACATCAATAGTTTTTTTAACAAGAAAAATTCATTAGTTTTCGTGGGCTTTATTTATTTATTTATTTTTCTTTATCACGTTTTCAGAGATATGGCTTGCCATTTGTTTTTCCTATATGTTTTAGTATCCATAATCGAACTAACAATGGATTTTTATTGTCTTCTCCTCTAACTCACACACACAAAAGAAGTGTAAAAGTCGTTATTAGGTTTTTGTTCAAAGGACAGGGTTGTCTTTTGTTGCTGGATTCTATTCACATTTTATTTTTTATTTTTATGATTAATATTGTTTTAGGTTTATTTTTCCTGTAGTCTTAAAAATATGTGATAACATGTCACGAAAAAGTGTTGATTATGGTGGACCAAAAGGCCATGTTGTGTATGCATCTTGGTTTTGAACTTAAAAGTTGTATGGTCAATTTTTAGAGGTACAATTTTATAGTGTATTTTCTTGGAAACTTATGTTGTTTCATAGGATTTGTGGTAAGTTATGTTATTCATTCGTCTGAATATAGTGGTCTTATGTGTTATATGGCCCTATATCATTAAAAAAAGGACAATCTTGAAAAAATGTAAACTTGATTGTTCAAGGTCAACATACATGGTATTGGATTATACGGGAAAATTGATAATTTTTTTATTAAATTGTTAACTATGTAAGATTAAACTGAAATGTTTGATTTTATTAAATAATTTGGGATTGATTTTGTTATTTGCAGGTTTATTTCACATGTGTTTGATTTTGAAAGTTACAGTTTTATACATGATTGGCTATTGATTGGATGGCAAGTGAATCAACTGCTCATGATCTAGATATTCCGTGTCTGTGATTGTAGATGTTTACATTGAAATTCAAACATAATGGTTCGATTTGAATGTTTGTGGGTATTAAGTTTATTAGACCTCGCATTTAGAATATTGTTAACATTTAAATTTAATTACACTTGACTACAACTTTCCAACTATTTGAGCTCTTTCATTTGAGAGTAAATATTTAAATAAAATTTTATAATTGTTAAAAAGGAAACGGTGTGGTACTCTCATAGTTACACAAATACAAAATAAGATAATGCACATTATAAGAATGGACAATTTAGAAAAAAATATTGTGTTAATCGATTGTTGTCTCTAATACGTTTATAAAAGGTCGTTTTGTAAATATTGGTTAATTCAAAACACATTGTAAAATTAGTTTAAATTAATAATTATATAGTTACGGATAAAAATCTAAGTGTCTAAAAAACAATTGTTGCAAATGTATTATTAATTATAACATCTATTAACTTTCGGAGTTGTTTTATGTTGCCCCGTGTAGTATACGGGTTATAACCTAATATATATATATATATATATATATATATATATATATATATATATATATATATATATATATATTGTTTTTAAACAACTTCTGATAGGACACAATCCACTATTGTAAAAAGCAAAAGTATGTAGTTTGAGTCCCTCCCTACCGATTAGCCACTTACCTTACATTCAACACCTAAGTTGATGGACCATGGCTCCATGTGTATATTATGGTCCAAGTATGTGACTCTCCCATCAATACCTATCAAGTCCAACCAAGTTTGAACTTGCGCAATACCCTATAGTTACATGTGACTTGTAGTTTTATCAAGAGATCTTATCACTTAGGGTTTTTTTTTTTTTTTTTTAATATGACTAAATAAATTATTAGGAATGTTTCAACACTTGGGGTTTTTTTTCTTCTTCTAAAGTTATAAGATGGTTTGCATGTGTAATGTGTTTAAGTGATGAGATTTGCATGAATACCATTTAGAAGCTTGCATTCAAATCTCATATGCATGTAGCATTTTGTAAATTAATATGCATAATAAGCGAGTACGTAAAAAGAAAAATCACATTATGATGTCATATTTTTGGTTACCCATGTGTTGTTAGCATGGTTCTAAAAAACGCGTCATGGCGCGCCTCAAGGCGTGCCATGGCGCGAGGTGTGGTGTAGCCGTTACGAAAACGTCCAAGACGGGTTTGTTAAGCGTGACGCCCAAATAACGTGGCAAGACGCCTTATCGCGATATGGCGCGAGTTTTTTTCAAGGCGCGAATATTTTTTGTTTTTTTTTTTTTGAATTTTTTTATCGGACCTAAAATACTTGAGTTTTTGTTAACTTTTTATATTAAATACTAATATAACACTTCTAAAAACTTGATATACTTGATAAAAATCAATAATTATATGATTTATCTCTTTTAATATATATAAAATAGTCACGCCTTGAAAAACGTCATGGCTCGCCAAGGCTTGTCATGACTTAACTTTTACTTTGCCGCCAAGCCACTCTTCACGTTATTTAGAACCTTGGTTGTTAAAGGTGGTAAAATTATGGTTTGTAAATATTTAAATAAGTTGTAACTAAATAGTTATTTTATAGACCGGGTTCGGTCCGATTGAGATGTAAATATTTTTGTTTATTCAATTAAATTTATATATAATTGATATGTTAAATGTGATTTACAAAATCCCACCAGATTCTATTTTAAGATGGTCTTATGATTAAAAAAAATCATAAAATACGTTTGTGGAATTTAGAACATAAAGTATATGATTATTTCAAATATATATCATAATAATTTATTTAAAGTAGATTATGATATTGATCACTAATCATTTTAAATATCTAGAAAAGAAGTAAATCTTTTACTTTAATATGAATAGAAGTATTTTATATAAAAAGGTTTGACAATAATTTTTTTATCCATGAGTGAAACGGATCAAAAGCATTGAATATTGTAAACAATTAATAAACAAATACAAACCAACATTTTTCACTTTGCCCCAAAAAAACAAAAAATATTGACATTTCCCTCCATATTAAATAATATTTTTATTATTATTAAAAAAATAACCCTCTAAGGCCTAAGCATTGGTTTCTGTTCTTTCACACCCCCTTGGAATTTTGTCACTTGGGGTTTTCCCCAATTCGATCGATACCCCATGTCAAAAAATTCTGCACTCTACAAAAACCCTCGAATCCCCCTTTAACATCGATCAGTTTCACCTCTGCTTTTTTCGTAATTAGCATCAATGATGCAGATTCGTGAAAATGGAAAGGTGAAAGTGAATGATGATGATGATAAAAATAATGGAGAAAGTGAGAGGTTTTGTATAAACGATCACCTGGATTTGTTGATCGAGGTTCTGAAGATGCTTGACGGGCGATCGTTAGGTGCTGCAGCTTGTGTGTGCCGGCAATGGTGTTCGATCGCACGGAACGATTCGTTGTGGGAGCATCTCTGCTTCCGTCACGTGTCGCCACCTCCAATTGGTGTTCGGCCGGTGGTTTCGGCGTTGGGTGGGTACAGGAGGCTGTACATGGTGTGTGTGAGGCCGGTTTTGAGTCGACTCAAAAGGAGGAGAATCGGTGGTGAATCGGAGGTGGTGAGACGAGTCTGGAACCAGAATGAGGTGGAGCTTTCTTTGTCGTTGTTTTGTGTTGAGTATTACGAGAGGTTGTTGGTTGGTGGTGGAGGTGGAAGAGTCGCCGGAGATTCGCCGGCGTCGTCGCTCAAGTTTCTATGCATGCCCGTGAATGTTTGAGAAAAAAACGATGACGTTTCAAAATGAAAGCAAAAAGGCATTATGATATATCTATCGATTATTTGAAGCTACTGCCACTAGTATAGCGGGTGAAATTCTTTATTTTCTTCTCGTTTTTTTAGTTTCAAATTTTCATAATTATTTTTGTAATTTTATTTTTATATTATAAAGAAATTGAAATCTTTTAAGGATGTTATTTTTATATGAGTTCGAACGTATTATGATGATAACATATAAATATTTATTTTCCAAAATATTTTCTTTTAATTCTTTGTTTATTATCTTACATTGTTCCATAAACTGTGTTTTTTTTGTGCATTTATAATTTTTTAAGATATTAAAAAAGAGAAGAAAATTAGAATTTTCCACATCCTATAAGTTTCTATTTTGAGGCTATTTATGATGGTCTAAAATTGATCACAAAGTTATTGAGCTAAGATCTAATTTTGGATATGAAATGTTTGGAAAATAGGCTCTTTGACACTAAAATCAAAATATAATAATATTTTTTTTAGAAAAAAAAACATCTTTTAGGGTTATATCCAAAAATAATAACTTATTTTAGTTTATTTCATGGTTTAAATATTCTTTCTTTTAGGTAAGTTGTTTTTATCATTATGGAACACTAAGGCTATCGACCATCATATCTCCCTATTACTTGGTTTTTATGGGATTGATGTAATGTTATTATTTTGTTTTGTTTTTATCATTTCATATAAAGTATGAATGTACTTCATATATGATTCAGGAAATTCAAATAGCTGTTTAACATACATGTAATAGACACAAATATAAAATGAATATTGAGATAATTAAAGTAATTTATTATTTATATATATCTTTACTCCGTTTTTTTTAAATATATCTTTATTATAAATTTATAACGGAAGAGTATAACAACGGATATGAGAGGCATGAGATTGTATTGTCACTTTCACTTTCTAGTGTGGTACCCATGAAAACTAGAATAGCTTTAATTTTCGTTTTTATATTGATGGTGCAGGAAGAAAAAACAGATGGATATAATCAGAAATCATTCCATTTGTTTTCTATATTAATGTTTTTTTAATCAATTATAAATAATTTTTTAACTCGGTTATGTTATCATGCAATAGTTGAAGCATGTAAGTTACATGTCTTATTAGATATTTATATAAAGCACACAGCAATCGTTTCTACATTATAAACGATAACATTTTCTGGACCAATTATAAATGTTGGTCTTTGATAGGAAGTTAATCAACACAGTACAATGAAGCATTCCACGTAATTTTTTTTTTGGAACATGAGAATTTTATTACTTCTAGCAAGATACTAGAATAAATAAGACATTACAAAGAAGCAATAATACAGATTGAATCGTTAAACCAATCAATTCAAGTAATTTTGATACTAGTGCTTATATGAAATAGTGTGACAATTTATCAAACAAAGTTTTATATATATATAATATATATATATATATATATATATATATATATATATATATATATATATATATATATTGGTTTGTCTGCTACGAGAATCAAAGCATTACGAAAATTCCAAGTAACGATAAGTCCTGAGAAAAACTGGATCCAATCATTTTTGTTGAGTCAATGACAATGACATGGGAACGTGGTCGATTCAACTAATCATGTCTGTAAATATTGTAAAAGAATGAACAATCATTTTAAAGATACATCAATAATATTATCTCAAGTCCGCAAGAAAAAATAAACATCTAGCGATTAAGGCGACCAGTGGTCTGTTTTAACATCCTCATCATTGACGGAGCAGCTCTGACACCAACCGATAGGGGGGGGGGGGTCTCAAGTGATAGGATCGATGTTGAAGGCTATTTTCCATTCAATGGAATCACGATGTCAGGGAGATGAGGAGTGGAGGAGGGTGAAGAGAAAACACACTCATATGAATCGAAATACTCACCACAGGTGGATGGCTAAGCCTAATTCACGAGATGTAAGTGATGCTCGATCTATTTATATTGCTAATTTCTCGAGTTATATTTAGGCCAAAAATATATGGAAGGCGTGTGCTAGAGTGGGTCATGTGGTTGATGTTTTTATTGCTAATAAGTTGTCTTGGATGGGGAAGCCATTTGGTTTCGTTCGGTTTGTTAGGGATCGAGATATCAATGCCATAGTAGACAAACTTTGTGAAATGTGGTTTGGTTTTTACAAGTTGTATGCAACCGTTACAAGATTCTCATTGGGTGATCAAAGCCATAAAAAGCCTAGTGTCATGTCCAAGGTCAAGAGGGCTAAAGGGTTGGAAAATTCTATGTGAGTGTTGTGAGGGGCCATTCGGAAGTGATAGGGAAGAAGAACAAATAACCGATGGAAGAGATCTTAGAGTTTCAATATGGCGATTTTTTGGTGGAGAATAAGAGTTATGCATGCTTCGGTAAGGCTAGAGATTTTCTAACTCTTACTAATTTACGTATGGTGTGCATGGATGAGGGGTTTGACGTAGTGGATATTCGTTATGTTAGATGGTTATGGGTTGTTGTTAAATTTAAATTGGAAGTGGTGTGTAAGAGTATCATGGCTAATGAGGCTAAACACTCCTCTGATACCAGTTGTTGGTCTCAAACAATTGATTCAATCACAAGTAAATACGAAGAATAAAGAATGGTAGAAAATACTTTAAAACAAAACTTTATTGATCAATAATAGTTTCGTAAAATACCAAGAAATAATAAGTGAACATACTATGATTATGAACACACTCTTGATGGATATCCTTCAAAAAGAGGGATATCGAATATATAACAGAATTTCCTCCTTTTGACGAAAACAACTTCTCCATGCGGTTAAGCAAAACCATGATGGTTCTAGAAACATTGATGTCTACATGACGGACACCCTCAAATTTGGTCCTTATGTTCCATTAAGAACAGTCACAGAAGATGACAAACCACCATTTGTAGTTAGAGCTCATGTTCATTAGTGAACTGGAAAAAAAAATCTACTATGGATGTCAGGGCAAGGGAAATTATTTGCTTTCCTCTTCCTTATGAAGTGTATCATCTTGTTGAAAATTATGCATCTGCCAAGGATATGATTGGAACACTGAAGGCCGCTTACGAAGGGAATATTTTGACAGCCAAGCAGTTTTCATAACTATATTAACTTATGCAACACACATTATTATGGAATTATCCACTTATTCACAACGATCACAAGACTCTACATTGCAACTAGGTTTATGTATTCAACATAGCATACGACTCTTATGAGAACGTATTCAAGACTTTACAATACTTTATATGTGAGCTTGATGAATCTGTGAGAATGTATCTTGTTTAGATAAATATAAACACTCATATGATACAGTTGTTGGTCCCAGACAATTGATTTAGTCACAAGTAAATACGAAGAATAAAGAACGGTAGAGAATACTTTGAAACTAATCTTTATTGATCAATAATGGTTTCATAAAATACCGAGAGATAATAAGAGAACATACTCTGATTATGAACACACTCTTGATGGATATCCTTTATAAAGAGGGATATCGAATATATAACAAAATACATGATGACATAACTTAATATACAAGCTAGATAAAGAAGGAAACACAATCTCAAACTAAGAAATAGTCTTTTGTTATATGGAAACTCTTATCTTCAAATCAACCTTATCAGAATAAAGTTGATATCTTTTCAACTTAAGAGTTGTTCGTTGATAGATCTTCATTAGGGTTTATGAAGGTATCAATGGATACACACATAGACACCCATCAGTAGCAGCGACAACTTTGACTTTATCAAATCTAAAGGCCTAGCAGGGAAATCTACAAAAAAAAAAAGTTCCTAAAGTTTTTCCGTATTAATAAAAAAGTCATCCTTGATTTTTTATTTACGATTAAGCCCAAAAACGCGGTAAACGTTTGCATAATGAGCCTTGTACCCTGTTAACACTTACATTATTGGTTTTTTGGACTTAATCGTAAATAAAAAAACCAGGGATGACTTTTTCATTAATAGAGCCAAAATTTAGGGATTTTTTTATAGATTTTCCAATATGCTTATATTCAACCTCTAATAAATGTTTATATCCAACCTCCAAAAAGGACGAATATATTTGGAACGAACATTTACCCAACCTAATTTCTCGCGACTTCAACAAAGAGGATGGGGTTTAGCGTTGAAGAGTCGCAAAGACCGCAACAAAATGGAAGAAACCAACATTATCATCCTCTAGTCTAAACAACAAAGGGATGGACAACTTATAAGGATTGTAGAGTACATAAAACGTCATCGAGCGAAGCTTGATGATATCAAGACGGAAAAGTTACACATTAGAGGAGCACTTACAAGGAAAACATGAGGATGGAAATTTGTAGTTCTATCTCCAACCGCATGAACATTTGACTGAACCGCGGTTGAATGGGATACTAGCACATAAGTGTCCAGAAAAATAACATTGGGGTTAGAGAATGAAATATTTGTATGTAGGTTTTAGGCATAATGTCAATATAGCCCTACAAACTGTAACGCCCCGTTCCTGGTACGCAATTCCTTATTTATTCAAGTGTTTAGGATTGAGCCACTCGACGAGTTGGTAGCCCTAACTCGTCGAGTAGATGCTTTATAAGACGTGGGATTTAAAAAGCCTGCTCGGCGAGTCCAAGCATGGACTCGACGAGTAGGACTGCCAAGAAGAAACCCTATTCTAGGGGTTTTGCACCCTATTTAAACATCTTAAACTCCTTTTCAGGGTTTCCCTTATCAGCCTCCTTGTCTCCAGAAAAACCTAGTTCGTTTGTGAGCCTCTCTCTTGAGTTTTGAGTGTGCTTTGTGCCTTTGAAGGTGGGTGCAAGAGCTTGAGCTAGCAAAGCTTGGGGAAAGAGAACTAGATCCAGGAACACACTCATCTTTGGCAGCTTTCTGAGGTAAAAAGTTCTTATCTTGATGAGTTATAGCTTAGATCTTTTGCATGTGGATTCTTGGGTCTTTTGACCCTTTTGATTAGGCAAAGATACTCTCTTGGATT